AGCGACACTTAACACCACCAACAACACAATATATTTTCATGATGGTCTCAAATGGCATAACTGAAGTACAGATTAACTGAGTGTCTTTTATTTGTGTAGAAGATCTAGAATTTAAATAAGCTTAAAAACTTAACTGGGTTATCCAAAAACAATACAGTTTGTAAAAGACAAAGGTTTTAATGAAAACAACTAGATTGTAAAGACTAAGTTTAGTTGTAGCTACTATTCTTTTGCTTGAATGAAGGTTTTAAGCCATTTGTTCCTAAGATATAAATAGGTAAAGAGAAAGAAAACCTTGTTTCTGTTCTCTACGTAAAAAGGACTATTACGCTACTTCCCTTTTTTTCTTTTAATGTGCAAAAGGTTTGTCTGAAATTTAGAAATGAATTAGAGGTTAAGAAAAGTAATTTTTTTGTTTAGATATTATTTTTTTTCCTTTACATTTATCTGGAAAATAACAAGCAATGGAACATAGACTTAGGAAAGTCATATTACGGACAAAAGTAAAACAAAATCTAAACTCTGCTGCCCTCTACATGGAATATTGTGAAATGTAGTTGTCAACTTGTTCTTTGACTGCAATTACAGTTAGAAAGGCCTTCCATAAGTTACTGTATACTCTTTTAATTTGTAGAAAATGACAGTAAAATTTGTATCTTTTGCTCTTATACCTTTCATGTTACTAAATTAAAAATATATTTAAAAATCATACAAGTCAAGATTTCATAGATCATAAATATCTTAAGAATTTTTCCCAAACATAAAAAACTAATGTGCCATTTCAAAACTAGCATTAAAGATTACATATTGGAGTCCTGGTGTAGTGCTGTGGGTTAATGCGCCAGACTGCAAGCCCGTTTGAACTGCAAGGTTGACAGTTTAAGCTCACCAGCTGCTCCTCAAAAACCCTATACAGGGTCGCTATGGGTCGGTACCGACTTGACAACACTTCACGACAACAACAACATACTCCTATAGTTCTCACTAAAAACAGGTTAGTGGAAAATAGAATTTCAAATCTTACTTAAAAAAGAAACATTATTTGACATGTTAATGAAATGTAACTTTTAAGACACCAAGTTTCCAAAAACTCATGTAGAGAGTTAAAAACAACAATAAAAATTACCTGGTACGTTTGAAAAAATGATTATGAAAGAAACTACTAATGGAAGTTATATGTATATTTGAGTTTTCAATAGTAATTTGGATAAAGAGGGACCTACCACCACTAAGAAAGAAGAGTCAAGAGTGGAGTGTGTCCTTTGGACCTGGACTGTGAAGCTCTTAAAGCCCGAGTTAGACTGATGCCAAGACACATAGAGATCTTCAAGGAATGTTGGGCCTACAGATGCTGACAGGAGACGAGGACTTTTCTCTAGAGCAGACAGAAAGTCTTCCCATCCAACTGGCACTCTGAATTTGCACCTCTAGCCTCCTAAACTTGTTGTTGTTAAGTGCCATTGAGTTGATTCTGACTCATAGCAACCCTGTATAGCTTGAACCACTGACCTTGCATTTCAGATGTCTTTGCAGTCTGACACATTATCCCATAGCGCACACCAGGACTCCTTAAGAAAGACTAAACTGTACTTTTTAAAGGTAAAAATAATAATAAAACGTATTAAAAAGTTGTGTGTCTGTACGTTTCACTAGGAATTTGGTTGGGGGAAAGAATTCAGATCAATTAAATACTAATTAATGAAACTATTACAAACTATTAGAAAGACTATGAACAGAATGAGGGATATTACAGAACTGCCAAACTACTGAGGATCATGGCTCAGCTAAACTGACACATATTTTGGGAGGACACAATTCAATCCATAACTCTCCTCATATAATAGCCTCTTTATAGTATAGTTAGCAAAGTAGAATTATATAGAATTAAGCACATCATAAGAGCATAACTTTCATCTGGAGATGGTTACAAGAGGTTAATTGTTAATAAGAAAAAAATCTTCAACTTAATGCCTGACTAAACTTTCAGTGAATTATCTTATTTTTTAGGGCTCATTAGTTTATGCCAAGGCATCTGGAAGACAGCTACTTGGCCACTGGACTGGAAGAGATCCATATTTGTGTCCATTGCAAAGAAAGGTGACACTAACAGAAAGCAGGAATCATAAAACAAATACTGTTGATTATCACATGTAAGTAAAATTTTGCAGAAGATAATGAAAATATCTTTGCATTTTGTATCAGCAGAAAGCTCCAAGAAATTCAAGGTGGATTCAGAAGAGGACACATAACAAGGAATATCACTGGTAATGTCAAATGGATCTTGGCTGAAAGCAGAGAATACCAGAAATATTTTACTTGTATTTTATTGACTGCGCGAAGGCATTTGACTGTGTGGATCATAACAAACTATGGATAACATTGGGAAGAATAGAAATTCCAAAACACTTAATTGTCTTCATGTGGAACCTGTACAAAGACCAAGTGGCAGTCATTTGAACAGAACAAGGTGACACTGTGTGGTGTAAAATTAGTAAAGATGTGTATCTTTTCTGGCATCATACTTTTTCAATCTGTATACTGAGCAAATGAACGGAGAAGCTGGACTAAAAGAAGAAGAATACGGCTGTAAAGAGAAGGCAACTAGGATTCACTGAGAGCCTTGCAAACAGAAGAACCCCAAAAAATCATCAGTGTTACGCTAGTCAGAAACCCAGAGCCTAAGCTGGGAAGAATTCTGCAGGACCTGATTCTCAGGCTGAGGGTAAGAACACTGCCATGCAATAAAGCAGTCGGGGCACATACACTTTCAAAACTAATACTGTTCTTAAAAAAGACTGCTAGAAGTAGAAACCAAATTGACTGGAACAATTCCAGATAAAAGAGGCAACAGAAGAGAAAAGAAAACATTGGGCCATATTCTTAAAAATCGCTTTGTGAAAGCAACAGAAGAGGGTGCTAAGAGGCTGAACAAGTCATCTTGGCCTTTTCTCACCCAAAGAATAGGAAAGTTTTCTGTACTTAAAAAAGCCTCAGAAAAGAATCATGAATTCCATTTAAAATTTAAAAAAAGAGAATGTAGAGCAGGATAATGTCTTTATGCTATTGCTACATGCCATCAAGTCACTTCTGATTCATAGTGTACAGAGTTTCTAAGGAGCTGCTGGTGGGTTTGAACTGTCAACCTTGAGATTAGCAGTCCAATACTTATCCTACAGCACCACACCAAGACTCCAAATGTCCCTATAGCCTAAAAGAAATTAAGAAAATGATAGAAGTTATGAAAGAAAAACTAAAACTCAGAAGTTATGAAATTAGAGAAAAGAAAGATTTGACATAAAAGGTGACAAAATTTAGGAAAGGCTAAAAAACAAAAGAAAAAATTATTTCTGAATGAAAAACATAATGAACTTAAGAGAAGCAGAAGGTAGAAAAGAAGGTTTCAAAAATAAGTTAAAAAAAAAGTTTGGAGACAAAAATCTTAGCTATAAAAGATTTAAAAAGAACATCCAACGTAAGTATAAAGGATGGGAAAGGGAAGACAAAATATAACAGGAAAAATACCCAAAATTATAATTCAAGGAAATATTCCTGAAATAAAAGATGATTTGAAACAACGTATTTATTGTATTTTTTTCAATAGTGGTATTTTGCGCCAAAAAAGAAAACGTGACCTGTGGATTTTAAGTTTGTGTGCTTGATGTGTAGGTTTCACATTGTTTTTAAAATATCACAATAATTCCTCTTCATGCCAACAAACCAAAACCTGTTTCATCCAACTCTTAACAACCCCATGTGCTTCAAGGTAGAACTGTGTTCCACAGGGTTTTCTTGGCTATATTTTTACAGAAGCACTTTTTTTTTTGTGGCGCCACTCTGTGGACTTGAACCACCAGCCTTTTGGTTAGCAGCAGAGAGCAAGCCATATGCATTACCCAAGGTCCTTGTGATTGCTCTCTGAAGTCCTGGATAGGCATGGCAGCCTTGCAGGACAGTGTCACTGAATGTGTGAAGAAATTTGGAACTAAGTAAGGAGCTCTGGTAGCGTAGTGGTTACGAATCGGGCTGCGAACCTTAAGGTCAGCGGTTCGAAACTACCAGC